CGAAAGAAATCATAAACCGGAAGTAGTGCGTGGACAAAGTGTTGGTATTGATTTTTCTATTCCTACGTTGAAATCAATACTTTCTGCACACAACATTTGCTTTGAATCACGTAGACAATAAGTAAACACACTTAATGCACTCTGGAATTCCGTACATTTTAACGGTTGGGTACTTTTTCAACTGTTTTTCAAAATAAAAAACTGATAAAAGATTCACAAAATAAAGGAGCTGTGTGTACGATAAATTTTCTATTTGCGCTTTCTGCTGTTGCAAGACACGTAAATGTGTGTAGAAAAACCATCTAACGCTTGAACAACGTTTTAACACCACTAGAACTGTCCCAGACAAGCGTGGATGTGGTCAACCAAGGGCGACAACTCAACATCAGAATTGGGTATTTCCAACGCCTATGTACGAAACCCGTTCCAACTAAGTGCATAGACTGTCAGGTACTTCGGGTTATCTTAAAACTCCATTATTAGACATTTATAAGATGTGATCATTGCCCTTTGCGTGGAGCCATTCTAACCCTGTTTCATTGAACAAATCGCCAGATTTTGGAACAACAACATTGGCAATGAAACTAAAGACGTTGGTAAAATGTACTTTTAAGCAATGGTTGAGGTTTTAAATTCGTTGCATTGATGGAAGAGAAAAAGGGTTTAAAAGAAAAGAATAGAGATTTCCCAAATCCAACGTCCCCCAAGACGCCCGAATCGGTGGCTGAAATGTGATGGTATGTGGTGGAATCTCTGCTCTTTGTCGTACACATTTGGTTACTTTTCAAAGCAACCTCAAGAGACGACAGTATTGTGACAAAATTCTTCGTCACAGTGACTGCCCTTCATGGCACGGATGATGGAATTTACTAACAAAACAATGTCCAACCACAAATGGCTACGATCAGGGAAAACTCCTTCCAAACTCGTCAAATGGTTGTTCTAGACAGTCCTGCAAGACCAACAAGCCTTAACCCAACAGAACATCTGTAAGATGGCCTTAACTGGAGGATAAGAAACAGGCAGCACTCCGTATAAACTCGTCAGAAACTGAAGGTTGCACTTCACAAGGAATGGCAGGGAATTCTTCAGACAACCATAAGGACATTAATTCAGTCAATGAACAGACGTTTTGTATCAGTAATTCATGCTAGAAGAGGCCACACGCCATACTGAGCAAAATTTGTTTTGGATGTTGCAAGGGTCAGTGTGAATTAAATTATCTCCCTTGAATAAAAAAAAAGACATTTGTCAATTCTTTTCATGTCATGCTGGCAGAAAATGAATAAAGATTTCGTGTACCAAATTTCTCTCAGCTATGTTTAAAAGTAAACGAATTATTGTGACTGAACTTTTGCAACTCGGTTATATATTGATATATATAGTTATTATATTTATGAAATTGAGTGAATGGGAGAGTATAACAATGTATTTAATTTAATCTGTTTTGGCCCTTGATAATTTACAAAACACCTGAACTAACCTATCTCCTTTGCAATTACATCTGATAGTTTCAAAAACAATTATTAAAAAACCCAAACAAACAAAAGAATCAAACAAAGATAGAGCAAAACAATTTCCATCTGAAATTGATCAGGCTCATTCATCTAATAAGGGAATGTATTTAGATTGTCAGATATAGCTTCCGGCTTCTTTGCAAATGAGCAGCGAAAATGTAAATTCCTTCGTCTTAAAAACAATTCTTTTAATGGGGAAAGGCTCGGGAAATGAACAAAAATCCACATTATTCGTTTATCGCTTTCATAAATGAGTTTCCATTAGCTGTGTCGTTCCAGGTTACTTTTGATCGCTTTGACAATTCGGATATTCGGATATCTGTCACGTTTTGTGCTTTGAGATGAACACAGAACGTAAGAAGTCTGGAGTTTATCGAGTTTTGTTTATTGTCCCTTTCGTCTTTTAAGCGGATTCTCCCAAACGTACCTGAAGATCACAAATCTTTTGCTAACAGAGGTGGGTGAAAAGCTGATTAACTCGAAAATGTGTTTGTTTGTTTTGTTCTTGTTCTTGTTTTGTCTCATCTGAGATAGGGTAATAAGAGAGTTGACGGAAGAGAGACAGAGAGAGAGAGAGAGAGAGACAGAGAGAGAGAGACAGAGAGAGACAGAGAGAGACAGAGAGAGAGAGAGACAGAGAGAGAGAGAGAGAGACAGAGAGAGACAGAGAGAGAGAGACAGAGAGAGACAGAGAGAGAGAGAGACAGAGAGAGAGAGAGAGAGACAGAGAGAGACAGAGAGAGAGAGACAGAGAGAGACAGAGAGAGAGAGAGACAGAGAGAGAGA